ATATGCAGCTGTGTTGTTCGCAACAAAAAAATTGTTTTTGGTCTGTTTCTTCAATGCTTTATGTGCTCTACGCCTATGGGTTATTCATTCATATAAACTTCCATCCCAACCGGATAGGATAAGGACATCTCTATATACTTCGATCTTTTTCAACAAGCAGTCTCTTCAAAGTCTTTGACTATTTGCTCCTTGAGCTATCCCACCATGGGTGTTGAGTTTGCTAGCAAATTTTCTTGAGAGCATGTCATTAATTCATATTTGTTGTACTAGTTTGTAACATGTTTTGTTATGTTTATGTAGGTTGGATGGTGGGCTGGAACTTCAGAAGACGTTAATTATCCATATGGCCGCATTATTCATATAAGTGCTGAGCATGGAAGATATGTGGCGAAAAGTTACAGTCCGCGGTATATCTAGGTTTCTGCTGGGTTTTGTTTGAGTTCGACAAATTGAATTTGTGCAGTTCTCTTGAAACAAATAAAAAATGAAAAGTAGGATCTTACCTCAGTTAGACGGAAGGAAGCCTAGAAACTGCAAATCTGCAGCTCCTTCCATCAACTCTTTCTTACACCAGTGAAAGAGGCTGTTATGCAACTATTTTCACCGTATGAAAAGCTTCTGAATCATCCTCAACACCTATCATTTCTCTTCCCAAATTGACCAAAATCACGACATGAGATAGTTCTCTGACCCTTCCATTAAAACTTCTGTTTATCCTTATGCCTTGGCATAAGATAAGAAGTGCATGGATTGATTCCATTATATATCGCTGTATTCCGGAAATCCTAACATGCGCCAAATATTCTCACCCACTGTACAACGTACTGAAAGATGATTTAGTAAATCTGTCTTCTCCCCTTTCTTCCATATGTATAATCTCTGCAGTTTATATACCAGTTGGTGCTGTTTTGATGTTGAAGTTAGATAAATTTCTAGTCTAAGTGTTGAGCCTTTCCTAACTGAGTCTTGCAAGGTGTGGTTGCCTTTTCTGATGTGCTTTATGTCCTAGTTAGTAACAAAAGCTAGTGTGGTGGCGTATTGCTATTTTATTGTTTTTACCTTATTAAGTAAAAGTGAACAAGAAACTTTGCCGTTAGGATATGTGGTTTACTGGGTTCATGTATTCTACTGACAGCCAGCTCGCTTCGGGTGTGGAAGGTGCCCCTCTTTTTGAAATATTTCTTACAGTGGATTATAAAGGCGAATACAGGCAACAGGTATCTTTCTAGCTCACATACTTTCTTTTGACTTGTTGACATCTTCCATAGATGCTCTGTGGGATGGGACCTTATGGTCAGAAGATGGGAAATGAATAGTCAAATTGTGATGAAATATTCGGAATAGTGAATGCTTGGTGAAACCCAAATAGTGCAAAATGGACACTAAGGATTCATATAGCTCGCCTCAACTACTTTAACAGGATATTGAGGTGTAGTTCTTGTTTCATTTTAAGTTACAGCATGTTGCAATTTAACAGACATGAATGTCACCATAGAATATCATTGCTCAGACGTGATGATGTTGGTGTGGCCCATGGGAAGACAAGATTGCTCAGGTTGTGAACCATTCCCTATATGTAGGGCTGCCTTTGCAAAGGTCATGGATGGTCTGGCAGCTCTATAAGTTTTTTTCCGTTGAAGATGTTGCACTTGATAAAAAGAACTGAAAAAATTGTACACCTTCTATATCAAAAAAAAAAGAAAAGTACATCTCCGTTCTGTTTTATTGAACCAGAATCTCCTCATCATCTCCTCATCTATGCACCTTTTTTAAGCATGCCAAAGTATGAAGATATATTTAATTAAAGATGGTTTTGGTCCTCGCTTTATAATAGAAGTCCTTTTCCTTCCAATAATATTTAAAAATCTTCGTGATCCACGTGATTCCAGGCTGTTTACTTGAAGAGAAAGCCAGTTCAGCAAGATTTACCTCTTCCTTCTTCAAAGCTACCTGGTGCTCTTAGTAACTTGGACACTCTTAGTCCCACTGAAAACAAAAGTGATATGTTCGATAAAATCTCAGATGCTGAGGAAGATGGTGAAGATAGGGATGATGATTTTGGCTTTCAGAACGCATTGAGAGACATGATTCCGGGGGTACAGGTCAAGGTTTTAAAAGTGACAGCTCCAGGGAAGGTAGATAGAGATCTAATATCAAAGGTCATTGAGCAAATAATGGATGAGGAAGATGAAGATGAAGAAAAGGACTTTGATTTAGACAGTGTGGACGATGAAGATGAAATTAAGGTGGAAAAAGATGGAGAGCAGAATGTGATTGAATTGGATACAGACAATGGGGTTAGTGATGGTGAAGAGCAGAGCCAAATTGCGGTTAGGGTGGTTGTTGGTGGTCTTATGCAAAATACTTCAAGTGGTGTACAGCATAAAGACCTGCTTCGAGTACCGGCAAGGCTAGAGAAGAAGGGTCACCTGTCATTTACTTTCAGTATAGAGGAAGATGAGAACAGACGCAATTCCTCTGGTAGTGGACAATCTCCCCCAGATAAAAAAGCTAGGCTCCAAGGTCAACGTAGCTTGGATCATGTGATGCTTGATCTTGCAAAGTTCATCGGCAAGGGGAAAATACCTATGAAGGTCAGAACTCTTTTATATTGTCATTCAAATTGCTAAGTTTATAATCTTCTCTTAATAGTTTTCTTGATACATGCAGGTCCTTAAAGATATGGGGGAGTTGATCAGCCTCACTCTTACTCAGGCACGAAATCGTCAACCACTGTCGAAAGCAACCACCTTTAACCGCATTGAGATTTCAGCATCTCCGGACCCACTAAATGGTGATCAATCTTCAATCTGTTTCTCTCCTTTAGTTCTCTTGCTGTTTAGATTGCTGATTTTCCATTTTCTAGTTAACATATGCTTGTTTAACTAGTGCAGCATCATTGTTTTTCTACTCACTCTCATTCTTAAGTCGGTCAATCATTATCAGGATTATATATTGGTGCTCATGGTCTATACACTTCGGAAGTCATCCACCTTAGGCGAAGATTTGGTCAGTGGAAAGAAGACGGTAGCCCTAAGGAGTCTTCACGTTTAGAGTTTTACGAGTATGTTGAAGCTGTAAAATTAACTGGAGATTCTTATGTGCCAGCTGGTGAGGTAACTTCACTTGATTCTAAAGTTGTGCATATAATCTAGCCTACAGATTTGTTGGAGGTAGACTCGGGCTTTTTTCTTTTAAAATAAGTTAGGATGGCTGTGATCGTTCACTCTGGCTGTAGTGTAGACATCTCTGTATCTGAGTGGTAGAGATTAGGGAAAGAATGATAAGCTAGGGGGATAAAAAGCAGCCCTGATTTCTATGCCTAAGTCGAATAGGTATTTTGCTAATCCGTTGAGCAATGAGAGTGAAAATCTACAGTGTCTCGTATCCTGCATTTGTACATTTTAGTACGTGTACTCGTAGAAACTTTTCTTGCCTTGCTTTTGAAAATAGAGAGGGGGAGAGTGTGATGGAGTGGTGTGCGGCCATTAATGCCTTTCTTTCTAATTTGCAGATAGCATTCCGCGCAAGAATTGGAAATAAATATCAACTTCCACATAAAGGGATTATTCCAGAAGAATTTGGTGTGGTAAGTAGTTCTAGCGAGTTTAGATTGTGCACTATTTCTTGCCATTATTTGTTTTCCCCATCTTTCTTTTTGGTTGCTTAACTTAGTATCCATAGCTCTGGATTTTATGATGTATCGGTCTATTTCTCACATTTTAGGCCTATATTATCTCTATTGCCAATGCAGATTGCTCGATACAGGGGACAAGGAAGGCTGGCGGAGCCTGGTTTTCGAAAACCCAGATGGGTTGATGGTGAACTGGTTATCCTAGATGGAAAGGTTTACCGCTCTCTATATAATGGCGCCCTTTGACATTTATTTTGTTGTCACTTTATACTCTACATTTTTCTTAACTTATTCCTGTTGAATTATGCAGTACATTAAAGGAGGGCCTGTTGTGGGTTTTGTCTACTGGGACCCTGAATATCATTTCTTAGTGTTCTTCCATCGGCTTAGGCTGCAGGAGTGAACATCTCTGTACATACAGTTTGTGGCTGTTTGTTCCTGGTTCAGTTCTTTGTAGGTATGCTCTTTGGCACTTCTACTTACCAAACTGGCTCTTTTGTTACCAGGAGGAGAAGAGCTGATGAATTACAAGGGTGTTTTTTGAGGGACCTGTATGATTAATCCTACCTCACTTTGATCTCTAATATGATAAGATGATTGCTTCTTTCTCTGTTCCTTTGCAGTCAACATGATATCTATTACCACGAAGCGTTGTCAGTTTGAGCTAAAGAGAATTGATGAAGAGAAGACTCAACAATTCGTTCGTGGTCAGCATTAAGCATTTAAATTGTATGGAACTAACCAACAATTTATGAGTTGATGACCCCAATATTTCCCTGATATACCAAATGTTCAGGCCTACCGGTGATTTCTTGGGCACTTAGCTTGTACATATGCTCTTTATGTTATTATTCTTTTTTG